ATGGAGAGCGAGGCCGGGGAGGGAGCTGCGAGCGGCGACAGGCGGAGGGCGTGCGAGTGTGGTGCTCGGCGACCTCTGGCGGAGCGCGGGTGGAGCGCGGGCGTGCGGGCTTAAGTGGAGGCTTCTCGGAAGCTTCTCGGAGGCGGGACCTGCCCGCCCGCGTCAAAGTGGATTTCGGTCCACTTTCCAAAGCGGGACGAGTTGTTGTTGCGCAGCGTCTTCGCGTTGCCGAAGGCCTCGAGGATCGGGTTGGCCTACGGAGGGCAACGCCGCGCCCGCGTCTCGGCCGGCCGGACACGCCTCCGCCCCTCCCCGGCTCCCAAGGCGGCGCCTCGACGATGCAGTTTTGCACAAACTCCTCGTGCGAGCCCTGGCGGAGCAGCTTCGCGCCCCCGCCGACGCCGCCGCCCCCGGTCGAGCGCGCGCAGATGTACTTGACGCATGCCTTCGCCGCCTCCGTCTTGCCCGCGCCGGACTCGCCCGAGATGAGGATCGCCTGCTGCTTTTGCTCACCGAGCATGCCGCGGTACGCATTCTCGCTCAGCCCGTACACGTGCGGAGGCAGGTCCGGGAGCGCCTTGGCGTCGGCCTCCTGGCAGCGCCGGGTCACCTCGTCCGTGTAGATGCCCGGGATCTGCTTGAACGGGTTGACGGAGAGCAGGATCGCGCCCGCGGCCGAGTATATCTGGTCGCGGCTGTAGCGCGTGCGGAGGTTGTGGAGCAGCGCCGCCTCGGTGAGATTGGAGAACTTGACCATGTCCTGCGCCCCCTCCAGCGCGAGCGGGTCCGCATCGACGACGTCGGCGACGTCCTTTGCCGGCACAGCAGCGCCGCCGCTTCCCGAGAGCGGCCCGACGGTGAGCTTGGTGCGGGCGCCGAGGCCCGTGCATGATGCGACTCGCTTGGGGAGGTACGCCTGCTGCTCGTCGGGCACAAAGACCACCGAGCCGACGGCAAACTGCGCGTCGGCGGGCATTAGGACCCTCTTTGGCTTTGGCAGCGGCGAGGGCTCAGGGTTGGAGTGCCCCGACAGCGACTCCCTGCCTTGCCGCGGATAATTTTTTTTCAGTGGCTTACTCTAACGGACGGACATACCCGAGGGTGAACTGCTGACAGGGTTTGCGATGAGGAGTGATCCAAAAAATTGGTTTTCGTTGAATGTGGCTCTTACGTACATTCCCGAGGATGACTACTCTGCTGACAGGGTTTGCGATGAGGAGCGAGGCCCAGCGAGCCGAAGGGTTTCTCGGAGGTTTTAGTGCACGTGTCTCGGTAGCCCTGCCTTATAAGACAAAAATACGTCCACGCGGGAGCCGCGAGAGGAGAGACTTAGATTGTTGCCTGAACGAGAGCTTATTGCGTGCGTGCCCCTTCTAAGTCAAAACAAAAACTCTCTCTCTCTCTTTGGACTTTGCTCTCTAAGTCCGAAAAATTGCCTTCGCCGCTCGAGTCGAGACGGGCGCGCCCCCAAGCTAGCCTCTCTCTTGTCTGCGTGAACGAGAGCTTATTGCGTGCGTGCCAGCGTGCCCCTTCTAAGTCCGAAAAATTGCCTTCGCCGCTCGAGTCGAGACAGGCGCGCCCCCAAGCTAGCCTCTCTCTTGTCTGCGTGAACGAGAGCTTATTGCGTGCGTGCCCCTTCTAAGTCCGAAAAATTGCCTTCGCCGCTCGAGTCGAGACGGGCGCGCCCCCAAGCTAGCCTCTCTCTTGTCTGCGTGAACGAGAGCGGGGTTGTGCGTTTATGTGAAATCAACAACGCTGCTCGCAACATGCGTGTCGCGCACTCATTCATGACCGGTCTCAATGCCCCACCCCCCTGCGCGCGGGCCTTGGCCTAAGCACAATATTCTCGAATATCTCCGAGAATATAGATGGTCCCGCGCACTTTCGTATTCGAGAATATTCTCGAGAATATAGATGCCCCGGCGCGGCTTTTTCTCAAGAATCTATGAGTTTTCTTCCTCCCTTGACCTTGGTTGACCTCGAGTCTCAAGATATTCTTGAATATTCTCGCCGTTACATCGCGGCGTCTAGAACGGTCTTGACTAGAGCTTCTCGAAACAGCTCTTTTGCCCCCTCAAAAGTAGGTTTTGGGTCGATGCAGACGGAAATCTTTAAGTTTTGGACGTTCCTGAGCGGTTTGGGAGCACAAACCTCTACTTTAGAGCGATTTTTGGCGTCCGCTGACCTCTCGCGTGGTGAAAATATTCTCAATATTCGAGAATATTCTCGAGAATATAGATGGTCTGGCGAGAATATAAGCAAAAGAATATAGATAGTACTTGGCGAGAAAAACGTGCTTAGGCTAACGCGGGCCTTCTAAGCCCGCGGGTAGTCCCCCCCCATCCCCAGGGCCTCCAGGGCTCGCACCTCAACCTCTCACAGGCCAGCGCACAGCGCCATAGGAGGTATTTTCTTCTCAATAACAAGGCTGTGAACGAGAGCAGAAAAATTGCCCGCAGCGCGTGCGCTGTGAGAGTGACCCTGGGCCCTGGGGATGCTTCGCACAGAGGACCGCTCGCTGCCCGTTTTTACGGCGGTGCGGGCGTTGCTGCGGCTGCTGGTCCTCCCGCTCGTCTCGATGCTCGACTTTGTAGCAGCCGGCCTCGCGCTGGCCCGCACCGCCCGAGACTCGCCAGCTGCTCCCACGGCGCGCCGCGCTGCCGATGCAGGTCAGCGGCCGGCTCTGGCCGCCGAGTCGCGCTCCGCCTGCTGCGAAAAGTACACGCAGATCTTTGTGCTCCGCAACCGGAACGACGAGGCCGCCGTCGCCGAGCTCGTCGCTCTCTTTCACGGGACGGCCTCCGTGCTGCTGCGCCACGAGATCGCGTACACGCTTGGGCAGATGCAGCGCGTCGACGCGGTCCCCTTCCTCGAGCGCCTCCTCGCGGACCGCGCGGAGGACCCGATCACGCGCCACGAGGCGGCCGAGGCGCTCGGCGCGATCGAGGCGCCCGAGAGCCTGAGCGTGCTCGCCAAGCACGCCGCCGACGACGCGTCGGAGGTGTCGGAGACGTGCGGCCTCGCCCTCGCCCTCCTCAACTACAAGATCGACAAGGGCGCCTGCGGCTGCGAGCGGCGGCCGCAAGAGGCTCTGCGAAAGGAGGCGCAGGCGGCGGCCACCGCCGCGCCGGAGGCGGCAGAGGCGGCCGGCGGCGGGCCGGCGGCGGCGGACGCGGACGCAGACGCCTCCTCCGCGGCCTGCCCGTGGCAGCCCGCCCCGCCCGAGCCGACGGCGCCAACCTACACGTACGTCTCTCCCGCGCCGGCCGCGGAGGCGGCGCCGCTGCCCGAGCTGCGCGCGCGGCTGCTCGACCGCGGCGCGCCGCTGTTTGAGCGGTACCGCGCGCTCTTCGCGCTGCGCGACGCGGTCCCGCGCGAGGGCGCCGGTGCGGTCGCCGCCCTGTGCGAGTGCCTCGGCCGCGCCGGCGGCGAGAGTGCGCTGCTCAAGCACGAGGTTGCCTTTGTGCTCGGCCAGCTGGAGCACCCGGCGGCGGGCGACGCGCTGTGCGGCGCGGTGCGGCGCGAGGGCGAGCACGGCATGGTGCGGCACGAGGCGGCGGAGGCGCTCGGTGCGATCGGCACCCCGCAGGCGGTGGAGACACTCCGCGCGTACTGCGGCCACGCCGAGGAGATTCTGCGGGAGAGCTGCTGGGTGGCGCTCATGTGGCTGGAGGACTAGACTCGAGATCTCGAGGGGGTGGGCGGTTTGGGGGAGTTGCCGCGGGGTGCGAGACGGGAATTACGGTGTGCGGTTTGTTCGGCGCACTTGGAGCACTTGGAGTGCAGTCAGCAACCGCACATCCATAAATAAAATAAATACAACGGGCACGCCAAACGAGGGGTGGGAGAAGGACAGGGTCCCCACCTGCACGAGCAGGATCTTGTAGGACGATCAGGGACACAGGGGAACGGGAGCGGGGAGCGCATCGCGACACGGAGGGGGGCTGGGCAGGGGGTTCACCCTCACGACAGGGTCCCAGGGATTCCTCTCTCGTATAGGACAGGTTGCACCCGGCGGCACGGGGGCAAGCGCGGGCCTCCTACTGGTTGCGCTCTCCTAGTTCTCCTGCTCCTGACAAGGGACAGCGACAGGCTCGCAGCACGGTGGACTCCCTATCCACTGGCGATCTCTCTCGACTAGCGACCTTCCTCCGACTTCTCACCGGCAGTCTCTTCTACCACAGGCAGACTGACACGTGGGTGGCAGTGGCGGTGATAGGAGTCTCCCACTCTGTGGGCCTCGCTAGAAGTGCGACCCATCCAGGGCCGGGGATCTCCCGGCTAAATATTTCTTTCGCGTTCCAAGCAGCAGAAGACGACCGCGCAATCTAAATCTAAATGCTCTGCCTGGTCGCCAGCGTCGGCCTCCTTCAGCGCTCCGGCCGGCTGCGCATGATGAGCGGAGGCGCCGGCGGGTTCGTTCGGCTGGACAAGCTTTTGGCGGACAGAGGTGCTGGCTCTCGGAAGGATGTGGACCGGCTGATCCGGAAGGGGCTGGTCGAGCTCGAGAACCCCGAGACGGGCTCGTACGAGGTGGTCGGCAAGAGCGGCGGAAAGCTCAAGGTGCCGTGGGACGCGTGTCCGCTCGTGGACGGCTTTGACTACCCGCCGCCTCCGCTCCTCGCCGCGTACCACAAGCCGCTCGGCGTCGTCTCGTCGATGAAGGACGACAAGGGCCGGCCGGACCTGGCTTCGGTGCTGCCCCAGCCGTGGCAGAAGGCGCTCCACCCCGTCGGGCGCCTCGACGCTGACACGACCGGCCTTCTCCTCTTTTGCCGCGACGGCGACCTGACGCACCGGCTGCTGCACCCAAAGTATGTGGTGGAGCGGGAGTACGTCGCGACGGTGGAGGGCGCCGTCGACGAGGAGCTGCTGCGCGGCCGGCTGGCCGCAGGCGTCGAGACGGTCGAGGAGGGCGAGCCGTTCGTGGTGCAAGGCGAGCTGCTCTCCGTCGAGGGGCAGCGGGTGCGTTGCGTCTTTCGCGAGGGCAAGTACCGCATGGTGCGCCGGGTGCTCGCCAACTGCGGACACCCGGTGGTGGCGCTGCACCGCGAGAGGCGCGCACACGCCTCTCTCTCTCTCTCTCCTCGCCTCTCCCGTCGCAGCGTCCCTGACACACCTCCCGTTTTGCGAGCAGGTACGGTGCGGTGCGGCTCGACCAGCTCGAGGAGGGCGAGGCGGCGCCGGTGGAGGACGTGGCGTGGCTCTCTTCGCTGCGGACGGTGCGGCGCGCGGGCGGCGAACAGGCGGGCGGCGAGGCGGGGAAGGAGGCGCGGCGCGAGAGTGCGACCGGAGGGGGTGGGGGCAGGGGCGTGAGGCGTGCACCTTCGGACCCGCGGGCGGCGCCGCCTCCGCGGGACGTGGAGGCTGAGATGGCGGCCGCGGCGAGGCGGGAGTGGCAGCCGCCGGTCAAGCTGGTCGAGCTGGTCGCGGCCGAGGGCGACGTGACGCGCGACGCGGCGGTCGAGTTGCTGCGGCGGCACGAGGGGGACCCGGGTGCGGCGCTGGCGGAGCTCGGCGTGGCGTGAGAGCGATCTTTCCCCGCTGTTCTGGGGCAGCCGCTTCACTACTGCGATATTTGTTTGACGTATAGAATCAGGCACACACGCGTTCGACTTATGCGCGCGCTTGGACTTTGTGGTTTCCATATATTTATATATCAATAATCCACCTCTGCCTGCCCCGCCGAGGCTGCCGCCTCATTCTGATACCAGGGCGTGCAGGCACTCCACCACGTCGCCATTGTGCTCGCGCAGCTTCCGCTCCGCCATCGACGACTCCAGCTCAAGCTCCTGCACGATGAGCGCCACGTCCGCCGCATCCACCTGCACAGCGGCGAGCTCACGCTCGCGCGCTATCTCCGCCTCGCGCTCGGCCGCGGTCTGGCTGCCCTCCAGGATGGACGCGACGGCCTGCGTCGCACGCGCCGAGTCGATCTCCCTCTGCTCCACGTAGTCGGTGAGCTTTGCCACGTCGCCGCCCTCCCTCTGCTGCTCCTTTGAGCCTCCCGCCGTCTCCTCGACGTCCTCCGCCTCC